CCCCAAAACCCCAAAACCCCAAAACCCCAAAACCCCAATAAATCCCCATATTAGAATAATTAAACTCAAATGGAGGACGAACTTGAGAAAAAGCTAAGACAGTCAGCCGACGACCAGGAATCAGAGACCTCTGAGGCTGAAGAATCTGAAGACGAGGAGGAATCCTTACATAAAGAGCCAGTCAAGGAGCCCAATGGCAACTATGACCAGCTCAATGGGGCCACTCTGGCACAGAAAGATGAAATCATTAGGAAGTTACAGGATAGTAACACTAAGTTACGACAGAAATTGGAGGAAGTAGTAGACCGGGCTACTACAAAACTTCAGAAAGAAAGCGTCCAGTACCAAAAAATAAAATCTCAGATCGAGGAGTACAAGACACAGTATAAGATTAAGTCGAAGGAGCTAAATAATGTACATAAGAAACTTGAAATCGCCCAGAAGGAAATCCGAACACTTACTTATAAGGTAGAGACGACTTCTAATGAAGAGATACTTAACAATTTAATGTCCAAGAACAAAGAGCTGAAGAAGAAGAATGAAGACCTTAAGAAGGAAATCAGAGCCTGTGAGAAAATCCAGAATGAACAGAGTAAGGAACTCATGAAAGTCAGTGAAGAAAAAGACTTTTATTATAAAATACGGTGACTCACTGAAGAACTCCGCATGCAGAAGAGCAGGTTCAAGGAAGTCAATGATAAGTTCCATAAAGAACGCAAGCTCACTGATAAGTTAAAGGATAAGATCAGGGATCTGGAGATCAAAGTTAAGCAAACTAGAAACGATGCCGATCCTAATAATAGCGCACCTAATGGCAGAGATATCATGATAACTGCTAAAATGGAGGATTTAGAGATCACAAATAATAGACTGCAGAGGAAACTTGACACTGCGGCTAAAAAGTTAAAGACAAACAAAATTATGCTAGGTAAAGAAGCCAAAGATTGCAGAGAAGAACTTGAAAAATTGGAACTAATGTTCCGTGACAAGGATAAAGAGTGAAGACTGTTGACTATTAGGCTAAAAGAAATGCAAAGAATGGGAAAATTCCCTAAGTTAAAGCCCCTAGACCTTGACACTCTTAAAGATTACAACACAGAAGGAAGAGCTAAAAGTACTATGAGGAATCAAGAAAACGATCTGTTTAATCCGAGAATAAACTATACTAAAAATACGCCTCAAAATAGAAGAAAATTGAGCACTACAAGATCGATTTCAAAAGGCAAATTTACGGTCCGCAAAAACATGGGTCCATCTGCAAACCACATCTCCCTAGGCCCTGACTCAGAGCCACATAACAAATCTGTGCTAATTCCGAATAAGAAGATATCAAAGATAGCGAAAGTGCATGATATGTCAAGAAATGACCAAGACAGCCCAGAAAAGATCAAAACTGTGCCTAAAAGTAACGTTTCCCATCACATTTCTCTATCTGAAATTTCTGTGCTCATACATCAAATTAGTAGATCTCTGCAGATTAAAGCTAGGTATTTCTCTGTGCTTGGGGCTTAGGACAGAGAATTAATAGCTGGTGAAATTTAGACCTATAAACCCACTAATTTTCATTCCATAAATTTTGTTAACTCTCTGAGAACTTGGACTTAAAGGATGAACATTTTAGTTCCCACCTGTTGAGACAAGCTCAAGAAAATTTATTATTCAAATGCATTCAAGCTATTTTGTTAGAGATTTACTGATAGATGAATTCAAGGCTCCCAAGTTATCTTCATATTTTCTTTCCCAGAAGGTCTAGATGCGATACTTACATGCAAGAGCTGGTAATAGCTGCTGAAATATTAGTAACAACTTATAAAGGAAGCACTCTGTCTATTGATACTAAAATGTTCGATCTAATTAATAATTAGCTCAATAGGCTAAGGTTAATAATTTGAACAAGGCTTGCTTCAAGCACTAATGAGATCCTGAGATTTTAAAGAGGCTAAAACTCAGAGATATAAAGCAGTTCAACCTTAGCTATACTTTCTTTGTTACAAGCTTTAAGTATTCTCCAGAATATGAAAATTTTCACTAATCCTCCAAATTTAGGCGTGAAAGCGAATTATAAGAAGGAAATCCCGAAAGATAAGATTATTAGTAAGACATTATCGAGCTAGGCCAAGAGCCTAGTTGAGTTTGTTGCCTCTAACATTGAGTTTAGCTTCACAAGAGAAGTTACAGAATACGGTGGATGTGCAGAAGGTCGTCAGAAAACTAAACAAAGGAGCTTCCAAAGAGCATAACATCAATCCGATATCAAGCCTTCAGTCTGATAACTTCACAATCCACCAGAAGCCTACTGCTGTTACAGCTCAGAAATACAAAACTCCTGAACCGGAGGAAGAGGAAGAAGAAGAGGAGTCTGAAGAGGAAGAGAGTGAGGAAGAAAGTGTTGCAATACCAGTAAGAAGCTATCTCTTAGGATTTATAACCATCATTTCTATGTCTCAGTAGTCTGATAACCCTCCTTCTCTTAGATTCAACAAGTCTCTTCTTAGAAATAGAAGAAATTTCAAAACTTCCCTCTCTTCTGTTCCCTCTAAATCAATATAGACGAAGAAAGTAGTAGAAGAAGAGAAGACTGTTAGTGCTTCAAGTAAGCTTTCCTAGTTACCTATAAGTTCAAAATGACCAAATGGCTAAAGAAGAGAAGTAAGTGGGCTCATTAAAGCTGGAATGTGAACCCCTGGATAAAAATATCCTCCTGAGTATAAAGTCCTTCGAAGTCTGAGGGGTCTCTGGCTGTGCTGAAAAGCTTTAAAGATGATAGTCTGGCGTATTTCCTCGGTCTCGTAATAGAGAAAGTGAATTTCTACCTTCTTGATTGCTAGTCCTAATCTTTATAAATAGAATGGAAGACATTGAAAGTTATAAATCCACTAGTAGTAATCGTAAGGCGCTTTCTCAAGCAACAGAGGGTTATATTGAGGATGTCATTCAGAAAGTCTCTGGAACTGGAAAACGTGAGAAAAAGGTGAAGGAAAAAAATGTACAACAAGACGTAATTAAGAGTATTCAGTCTCTTGTAAGTCAAAGGAAGAGCAGTCAAGCTGTAACGAAGCTTCCTACAAGAGTCACAGAAAAGCTTAAGGAGGACTCTGACTCTGAAGGGTCCAACATAGAAGACTCTTCCTTTAAAGATTACAAAATCTAAGAGATATATTCAGAAAGAAATTTTATGTTCACTTCAATCTTGGCTAGGTAGCTTGGGGTTTTGGGGTTTTGGGGTTTTGGGGTTTTGGGGTTTTGGGGTTTTGGGGG